TCCTCAGCTTTACCTTTGATCCCATCTTTGATGTTTTATCCTCAGCTTTACCTTTGATCCCATCTTTGATGTTTTATCCTCAGCTTTACCTTTGATCCCATCTTTGATGTTTTATCCTCAGCTTTACCTTTGATCCCATCTTTGATGTTTTGTTCTCAGCTTTACTTTTGATTCCATCTTTGATGTTTTATCCTCAGCTTTACCTTTGATCCAATCTTTGATGTTTTATCCTCAGCTTTACCTTTGATCCTATCTTTGATGTTTTATTTTAGAAGTTCAATCTCTTTCTATAATCTTCTCGAAATGTTTTTTATTAATTCGTGAAAAAGTGTCTTTTTTAAGCTATTTCCGTATTTCTTTGTTTCCTCCGCACCCAAGCACAAGCTTATCTGTATCTGTAGAGGTTTTATTCTGAGAATCGGCATTAATTGTTTGTAAATGTATTGCACTCCAGTGATGTAATTTTGAAAACATAAGTTGTTTTTGTATGTAGTCAGAGACTATAACTTTCTGTTTTCCAACAGAGTGTCATCATGTCATAGTTATCTTCACTATGATTTTAAACGGTGTCATCACCTCTTGTAAATATTTGTTTCTCTTTTTTTTCAGTGCTTGAATTATGAGGTTAAAAGTTTAGGGTAAAATACTTCATATGTTTTTTGCACATAATCATAATAAAAATGTGTTATTTTACTGTGATTAACGTAAATGGTCTAAATTACACAGTTATACGTTGCTTTTATTCTTATAATAATGCTCATACTTTACCTGCTACTATGCTTATGGGTTTATAATGAATACAGGGTTTCTTTGAATAAAGCAGTACTAAATAATTATATATATTTGACAATAGTAATGCTTTAAATTGAAAAACATACATCGAAAGTTTGTTTGCAGTTAAGAACAAAGCTACTCAATGGGCTATCTGTGCTATGCCTACCACGGGTATTAAACCCCCATTTCTAGCGTTATAAGTTCGTAGATTTACCGCTGTGCTACTGGGGGGTGGCTCATCCGAAAGCAAGTAAGGAAATACGATTCCACGCCTTAAAGGAAACTAGGCAATTCTTAGTTTTTTAACGTGAACCATATTTGTGTATCTGTGTATTTGTCCTTTATCTAACTACTCCTAGATTGCTGGGCCATTCTCAACCAAACTTTGTGGGATGATAGTGTGAACAAGGAGCATGTTAATGGGGTTCACAGCCCCCTTCCACCCCATTATTGCTGGTATTGAGAGTTTATTATCTTTGATGTAAGTTACCGTTATCGTTCTTAAACCAAAACAAAAAACTATTAAATCTATATATAAAGCACAAAAAGTTGTGTCTGTCTGTCCATTATCTAACTACTCCTGAATCACTTTGCCAATCTAAACCAACTTTTGTGGGATTATAGTTTGGAATAAGAGACAGGTCAGTGGGGGAATCACGACCCCCTCCACCCCATTATTTATGTTATTGAGCGTTTATTATCTTTGATGTAAGTTAACGTGAACTACATTCATAGATAGCGCCACGTTCTTACACCAAACAAAAACTTTATTAAATTTTCCGTCTCCTGGTGGGACAGCGGTAAATATTCAGATTTACAACGATAATATCAGGGGTTTGATTTCCCTCAGTGGATATAGCTGATAAGCTAATGTGGCTTTGCTATAATAAAACACACACACACACATATTACATTTTCTATAACACAGCACATACATAGTGTGAGGGGAGGACACACATATGTCTTATGTATCTCAGAGAGTGCTCTATTCCTTTCTATGGAGGAATCCAATAAAAAAATTGCTGCCATTATTGCTATAATGCATAAACTCATATGAAGTTGATACTACAATAGCCACCATAACGCTGGTATGAAGAGCCGTTTCTTAACTTATGCCTACTTCCTACATTGACCCGTGACCTTACAACAATACACTCCTGCGGCCAACGACCGTCAATTAATTAATAACGTGAAACTGTATGGAAGGAAATTAAGAGGTGGGTGTAGAAAGCGGGGTATGGGAAATAAATTTTCAGCTACATACATGCATATGTCTTCAGCTGAATGTTACATGTTTTTCAACATTTTACGCTGCATTGGCTTTCCTTCCACCCACTTCCACTGAACTTATCTCTGTATATATAAAGCACAAAAATCTATGTGTCTGTCTGTTTATCTTTTATCTAACTACTCCTAGGTCGCTGAGCCAATCTCAACAAAACTTTGTGGGATGGTAGTTTAGAACAAGGGGCGTGTTAATGGGTGGTTCACAATCCATTTCTCTCCCATTATTGCTGTTATTGAGTATTTATTATCTTTGACATAAGATAACGTTAACTACATTCATAGATGGACCCCACATCCTTGCACAAGAGAAACACTTTAAATACATTTTCCATAACACAACGTAGACACAGTGTGAGGAGTGGCACACAAATGCCTTATATATATCAGAGAGTAAGCTAGTACTCTCTATGGAGGAATCCAATGAACAAAATGACCACTAATATTGCAATAATATATAAAATCAGCTGATTTTCTACTCCAACAGCCACCATAAGGCTGATATGAAAAGCGTGTTTTTAGCGATACCAACTTTCTACTTTGACCCGTGACGTTTTCACTTCGGCCCGTAAGACATTTCTGCAGCCAATGATGATCTATTAATTAATCACGTGAAACAGTGTAGAAGGGCATTAACAGCTGGCCGTTGAAAGCAGGCAACAGAAAGCAACCATACTGCCACTAATTTGGCCGCTACCTCTTCCTACAAATTCACCTTGACCATCGCACAATGCATACCATGTTTTAAGTATACACATATCGAGTTCTTAAAGCTTATATAAAAATTTTTGATGAGGTAATAATGAATCTATATTAATATAATAGTACTGTCTGTTGCCTTTGTATGCCCATTCGCAGGGTGTGGGTGGATCTTCATCAAAATTAGTATGGAGGTTCATTAGGTTTATGTGGGGGTACATACAAACTTTCAGATTTGTATTTTGTATTTTGCAGTTTTTATAGGCATTTTTGCGATTTTACCATCATCTCGCCTCTTGTGGATGGATGGATCTTCACTAAATTTGACCTGAAGATTTTTTGGGTCCTTGCGGAGATACATGCAAATTTTCAGTTTTGCATTTTGTGTCTTGCTGTTTTTATGTGTGTTTTTAACAATTACATATAAGGGAAGCAACTTTTCATGTATTGAGATAACCTTTCACTAATCATGAATTTACATAACTTCCGTCCATGGGACGGGTACTCCAGCTAGCAATGTAATAATATGTTATGTTAGAAATAAATTGTGTGAAAGTTAGCATTTTTGTGTTATTTATCATAGCATCAATCCATAGATTTTTTAAGTTCATAACCCGGACAAAGGACGGTTACTTCAGCTTGTGCAAAATAAATAATAAATGTACAACAATGAATAAACACATGTACTTGTATACAACTATAACAAACCAAATGTAAAGTTGTTCTCAAAGGAGCATCTTGAACGCAAAGATTGTATCATTATAGATTTAATAATCTGCTTCCATCAATGTCACGGTGTAATGAACCATAAGACGAGTAGCAACAAAGCAATCTCATCAGAACGGATATTGTTTCTTCTAAGATATTACAATACAGATTAATGCAATGTAACAGACTCAGTAACATGCTTACTTTGTTAGGTCTACATGACACGTATGTATGTTTTTCAACAGACCGTTGTGCACAAGAAAGCGACACAAATAATGCATGCAAAATAGACAACAGCGACACACTTAGCGTAAGTCGCCGACTATCGACAACATTTACAACTGCTACCCTAACACCAACTATCGACAACATTTACAACCACTACCCTAACATCAACTATTTTGTTATAAATAGCAATAGCTATATAATTTAGTAATAAATACTTAATACGTACTCATGATTTCAGCAAAGTATAAGAAACAATAAAAGGAATTACCACCGCCATCTGAGTAACGAATTATACTATTGTATTCGTCCACTGTTAAAAACTTGCTGAAATATAGTCGTGAAAATCTATGTAGAGACAACAAACTCGTGTAACGATGAACAGTAGCGACTCGAATAACGATATGCAATAGCAAAATCGGGAACCTTTCACGTGGCAGTTTCCAACTAACGCGCATTCTAGGAAAATACTGGATTTTTTATGGTTGAAATTGAAGGACTTAGTAAATTTTACAGCACAACAAAATTGAGGAGTTCGAATTAAGTTTAAAATTACTTTCTCATATTTTTGCAAATTCCCGTGTGTTCCCACACTACAGTAAATATATATCACTTGCAATGATTTTATAGTGGATTATTAATAGGAATTTGTAGCTTGAGCAAACTGTCAGCTGTAAATATCCAGCCTTCTTTATTTACTTTTTTGCTATCCCTATCTATAAGCCCCTCTGTGGCACAGCGGTATGTCTGCGGACTTACAACGTTAGAAACTGGGTTTCTTAATTATATTGTATGCCGCATTTTTTAATGCACAGCAATGAACAAATATATGCCTGGAGTAAGACACAACTCCCACTAAGTAATGTAAACCTTTACCAGTAGAAAAGCAGCCTTTTCATATAAATCAAATAGTCTAAAACATCACTTCATGTCTTTTAAAGTAATTATTTACTAAGCCAGGTGGCTTTGTGCATGAGGACACGTCGATTACAAAAGTAGCCGCTCAGAACAACATCGAATCCATTATGTATTTATAACCACATGATGAAAAATAAGCAACTTTTAAATAAGTCATAAACATTCAAAACGCTTCATATAGTATATCTGTCTAGGGTTTGGTGCAAAATACTAAGCCGATTTTGTTGTGGGCTTGTGAAACAATAATATTAATAATGATATGAACAAATGAGCAAGTTTGGATTTTGTCTACAATCGTGAAATCACTTATTTTGATTCTTATCAATGTTCGGGTGTACTTAACTATTGAAAAGGAAGGTTTTGAGTGTTGTTTCAAGTCTTGTGTTTAAGTTGACTTTTCTCCAAATGTTCTTTAAGAGCTGTGAGCAATTCCTGTGCGATCCCAATTATAAACTACTATTGTCGTTCATGGTATATTTATGGCGGTATTTATACAATTGGAATTTATTATAGTCATAATCGCGTGACTAAAGTTTTATATCTACAATCTATTTAAGCATTCAGTAATTTTTTGTTTCCGATAATGTATAAAATAAAGTATTAGTTATTAGTTCATCAAAATAACGGCTTGGGATCCCTTATCATTCTTCTTATATGTTCACTAATAATGATAGTTGTTTGTTTTGTGTTATATTCACACAAAATACTGAAATACCACGCTAAATAAACCATTTTTGAAATTAGAATTATTGTATAAATGTTGTTTTTTATTTACATTAATGTTTACAGAAAATGTGAGCCAGCATTTGCTTTCATAACTTACTGTTTTAAACTTATATAAATATATATATAGAAGTATTTTATATCTCTTACAGCCCTAGATTATCTCGACCCTCAAGTATTTGTGTATATTAATGACACCAACGCTCAACACCCAGTCGTCGGTGGTTCCTTAACCCTCACTTGTACGGTCTACTACGCACCAGATTCTTTAATTTTAATAGAATGGCTTCATCCGGGAAGTGACGTATGTATACTTATCATATTGCTTCACACAATTCGTTCTTTTATAGTTATCTCATTCAAACGTTATTGAGAAGTCTAAGCTTATGCAAACAATTTGATCGTTTACATGCATAAATCATCCGATGTTCGGTTAACTGACTGCTTGGAAGTTTTATCACCTATGTTTAGACTGTTTAATTTTCAAACTTGAGTTACATTCCACTATCTTTAGTGTAATCTAATCTTACGAAACAATTGTTCTGAAACAAAATCAATAAATAACATAACAAATTATATAAAAGTGTAAAGATGATAGAAAGTAAAAATAATTAAATATTAACTTTAAGCAAGTTCTACATTTTCTGAAAACTTAAAATGAAAAAAGACATAATTTTAAGAATTTTGTATAGTATTAACATTTTTCTTTCTTGCTTGCAAGTCTTCAAAATTTTAGTTTTAATAGGTTATGATTACCGAAAGCAAATCTTACATATCGCCTCAATGGAAACCAACTACGAGTTATTTCCCCTATTTAACTGTATTTACCTATTATGTGTAGAAACTAATATTCTCATATACGTTGTGGTTTTTGAAATCCACGAAATGACGGCGTCTATAAAGTTCAATGTATGACGTATTACTTACGTATGTTTCTTTATTGAAAGAAGCATACATTTTATCTTTATATATATGTAACCCATATCTCTCAAATCAATTCATTCTGATAAATATTGCTTGATTATATATGATCTTCTCATGTTACATACATGTTATTCTATATTGATTTAAAAAGTAAGCCTTTTTTTTCACATTAGTTCATTATATATTAATCTGAAAGGGGTGGGATATTTACTTAATATTTAGAGAAACTTTGATCGTGGAGATTTATAAGCAAAAGACACTAAATACCCTTGTCTTAATTGAAATAAATTGGCAAAATAAGGTTAATAAACAAAACAAATAGAACATTGCACACTTTTATTTCTAGGTTTTACTTAAGTGACATAATTTTAATGTAAATATAACAGTTTGTTTGAAGCTAAGCACAAAACTACACAAAGGGCTATCTGTGCTCTGCCTACCACGGGTATCGAAACCCGGTTTCTAGCACTGTAAGTCCGCAGACATGCCACTGGTGGGTAAATATAATACTATAACCATAAAATTACTTCATGTACAAATATCGAATTTACTATCTTATATATTCCTAATCAAATGTATTTATCCTAGTAATATAACTGCTTTATTTAAACATGAGTAACACGGTCTTAGTATCTTGTATCATTGAAACAATAATTTTTAAGTGCTAAATTGTATGACAAAATGCAAATAATGTATAATTTGAAAGATCATTATGACACGCGCTATAACTCTCACGATTCGAATTGTGATGGACTTTTAACGTTCAAAGTTGCTTGTAATAAGCGCATTTTTAGTGTATATTTCATTAAATGTTTTATTTACAAATATTGCTTTTATTGGATTTCATGTTTTAATAGATTGTTTATGAACAAGTGTAGCACTTTTCAAAAATTATTTGTGATAAAACAGCAATCGGTATAAAGATACCATTTTCTAAGGAGCAAGGCTAGGTTGTAGAGGTAATTCACTGAGCCAGTGAGCCAACGGTAGGTTTACGAACTGACAATGATCAAATCCGGGGTTTGATTCTCAGCGGTACACAGGGTGTAGGTAAACCAATGTGTAGCTTCACGCTAAAAACAAACCATCATTATTCAAAAGGAATATTTTGCAATAGAATATTATAATAAATATCGTATTACTTAAATATAATTTACTGTAACTGAATTTATTTATGCGTGTTTCGAAAAGGTTGCCATTGCTTTTACAAAATAAATGTTCAACTCATTTACATTGAAAAAAAAGTAGTTATACATTAAGCTGTGTCATTCAATTCGAGCTATCAAAGGCAATGATATACGCCATGTACTTTGTTAATGTTTCTTCTCTGCAAAATAAATAAGTGATCTGTGATATATACTGGGCTTCCACAACCCACATTTGAACTTCTATGCATTAGGTGTTGTTTCCAATATTACCAAGGTAATTCACACATTAGAACTTTTGAAACGCAACTATTGTGAAGTTATTACAGTTCATTAGATACATCATCAGTGTATTTTTTTGTATCAAAATGGTATAACTATTTATTTAATTGAGTCACAAATCAAAGATAAATTAATATTCGTTTGGTTTTATATTAATGCTAGATATACATTTGTCAGTATGTGGTATAATACTGAAAGCAGTTGTATTACTCACGTTATACTTCGCCCTAAGGTTAATAAACAAAACAAGGAGAACATTGCACACTTTTATTTCTAGGTTTTATTAGATATAAAATCTATATATAGCATATGCTATGTTTCAATTGCTATTGAAATACGTTTTTACGCTTGTTGGTGTTTGCAGTCTATGCACAGGTAATTCAGTACGGTCATTTACTCAGTTTTGACCAACTGTGTTGAACAAACTTAATTTTTTTGAAAAATAAGTTTAAAAAGCTATCAAAGTTCATAAAATTAGGTATATTGAGAAAATTTTCTTACTGTTAATATTAAAATAAAACCCGTTCAATCGGAAGTTTAGAAAGAACAGATTTAAACGGTAACAATATAATGGGATGTACGATAAAACTTACGGCACACATGTTTAATAAATAACATTATTAAGAAAAGGGTTTAAATATAAGTTTTAACACTGTAACTTTAAAATAATAATATATATCAAGAATTAAATTTAGAATTAAAAGTATGTTTAAAACCAAAGACACTCTACCCATTCCTCTACGCTGGGGGTCGTATATAAATACACTTGTGGTAGTTGTAAAGCTACCTGTATTGGTAAAACTATACGTCACCGATAAATACGTGCACACGAGTACATGGGAATTTCAGGTAGAAACGGATATAATCTAACTAAGACCCGAGTTTTGTATCCGATTGTAAAATGAGAATAACAACCAATCTATATTTCTAGAACGTTCTATTAAAGAAAGCCTCTCTATTTTCAATGATCACCCAACACTAAATAATAACATCAACTCCTCCCTGTCGTTATTAATGTAATCAATCCCGGATTCCCAGTGTTTCTGTTTGATATTTATTATTATTTTAAAGGTACTTATATTTAAGCCTTTCCCGATAATAGTTTCTCTTAACAATGTTATTTATTAAACGTGTATGCCGTAGGTTTTTGCGTACATCCCATTATATTGTTACCGTTTAAATCTGTTCTTTCTAAACTTCCGATCGAATACAAAAACTCACTCAATAGCTAATGTTGTTTTTTGTAGTTAGAATATCGTGAACTAACTTTTTTTTACATATTAACGCTGATGATGGAATTTAAGGAAATTACGATCCGTATTAATGATGTTTTATGGTATTACCGTATTTTTAATATTCATTATAGAACTTGTTCACTCGGAGAATCAAGGAAAATAGTGAATTCGCAATAGTGTAAAGAATATTAATATAAATTCTTTATCATATTTACATTTTTTCGTGTTCTAGTTTGTTAGCTGTTTTCTTAAAAGAGTACATTATTTCTACTGTTTTGTGAATACAATTAGATATAACGTGAATCTGTGACGACAAATATATTATTGTGCTGTTTGCACCTATTTTATTCTACTTCTTGAAAAAAGTACTTAATTTCGTTATTATGAATTTTTCAGAACCCTCGAATTACCCTCAGTGACGTGAACGTAACTAGCATAATTAGAAAAAACTTTTCCTTCGACATGATTTCAAGAACGATCACAATAGATGACGTGCAATACAGCAATGAAGGTGTTTATACCTGTCGCGCTATTCACAGTAATGGCCGAACGATGTCAAAAGATGTTTTTGTAAAAGTATATGGTAAGTAATTCTCCTGACAACAATCTGTTAAAAGTACGTTCGTTGTTTAACTTTTTAACTATAAGTTATAAAGCAGTTTGTGCCTATATGTCTGCCTATGAACAGGGACGGCGCCAGCCTCTTTCCGGTATGGGGACAAAGTTGGGCTATAGAAAACAATTAGAGGGCTTCCTACTACATCTTGGGGGTACATATACTGTAGTATTTACGAAGTGAATTATCTTTAACAATAATAACTTTTCATTGGGTACGGGGGTAATAGGGGAGGCTAAGACACATTTAACGGTAGTTTCAGACACAGCTAGCCCTCCCTTACCGCCTCCTCTTTCCATGATGAACATTTTCCAACTTTTCGACCTCTGATCTCCACGAAACTTTCAGGAGTTCTTGGGTATACACCAGAGAGAGAGAGAGATATTCGAAAATCCTTTACTTTATTCAATTTATAATTTTTATAAGTTTTACAATAAGTTAAATTTTCTTATTTGCTTTAGTGACAACCTATGACGCACGCCGTCACTCATCATGGTTGTAAGACAACTGCCTCCCAGACAATCTCTCCTTGACAACTGGCTCCTTATATTAATATAACTGACTAAAATAGGAAAAATAACGAATATTTCTTATAATTTATAGAAGAACGAATTATCTAAAGAATCGTTTGTTATCTTGGCAGTTTTGATTGTGTAAATCTTCTACAATGTTAGGTTTGTTATCTTGGCATTGATTGTGTAAATCTTCTACAATCTGCCAGGATAACAAACATTGTAGAAGATTTACACAATCAACTGCCAACATAACATAACAAACAATGTAGAAGATTTTCAAAACTACAATTTGTTGGAGTTTTTGAGAGGAATAACTCATAACTTACAGTTCTAGTGTACTTACGTTATATAACTTTGCATAATTCAACATTTTTATTTTATTTCAATAAACAAAATTTAACATGAAACCCGTGTTATTTTCTCCTACTTAAACAGTTTTAGATAATTCGTTCTTCTATGAAATACAAGAAATATGATTTTTTTTTCCTATTTTAGTCAGTTATATAAATATGGCTGCGGGGGGCAGGTGTCAAGTTACCAATCATAATGAAGCTAACGAAGTAAATAAATGCCAAGCCTAGTTTAATGTATTACAATGTCTAAAAACAACGTTTTATCTTAAATGTTAAATATGGTTCAAGCTTAAAAGAGTTCTTTCTCTTTAACAAGCATTAACTATATAAAAATTTTGTAATTATACCCTTTCACTATCAATAAAAAGTGCGTTTTTGGAGTTGAAGTTAGTATTTTTTCAGAAAGAAAAACTACTTAATTTATGCTTTTTTACAGTTTTCTTGGGTTGCTTTGCGCAGTTACGGCTAAAGAAAGCTATTCTAAATGGTGTATTTAAGTGTTTGACACTCACAAAAAAAGAGACCTATCATTCTATAGGTATTTGAAGAACCTGTAACATTGCGCCACAATTTAATTATTCGTATTGTTAACCGACAGGTTCTTCAAATACCTATAGAGTGATAGGTTTCTTTTTGTGAGTGTAAAACACTTAAATACACCATTTCGATTTTCAATACCTCACTACTATAAAGGCTTGGTTTGGTTTGATATTTCATTGGTTGTAGTGTCCAAAGTCACTGATGAGGAGTGGAATTCTCCGAAACTAGTCTGGCTCACAGAGACACCCCCCAATGAAAGAATAGACCATTCCAAACCTTTACTTGTTGTTAAACAAATGTTTAAACAACCCTATTCAAAAAGAAAGCTATTGTTTTCCTGCTTTCAACAGATGAAATTTATCCAATAAATAAACACGGTTCAAATAAAGATTCAGAGGAAAGTTCGGAAGAGGACTCTAGTGAAGAAGATAACAAAACTTTCAGTCTTCAGTGTTCCTTCTTGAGAGTTGGTTCTGAATGTGTTTGTCCAAGAGGTTATCAGATAGCACCGGACAAGAAAACCTGCTGGGGTGAGTATAGATATTTTAATACTTCTTATATCATTGTTGATGAAATTTCAGTGAATAATGTCTCTACTTGTAACATACTAGCCCTAAAGGCAATGTTGGAAAGTCCAGAAAATTGAGTTGATATAACACTGGAATCTAGGATTGACATTATACTTGTGAGGGAAAATGTCATAACAGGGAGGTAAGGGTAACCGAATAAGAGAACACTTTCGTGTTTACAAGAGGAGGAATGGGTCACTCTTTGAAAGGTATATTATACAAAAATTATATAACAATTTAAAACGGTTAAACTTGAGAACTTCTTAAACTTTTCTCTAGTTTACTATTTGACCTCCTGAGCTTTTTTACATAAATTTCTAGCTGCTGTTGTGTGTGTGTGTGTGTCTTTTTAAGGAACGTTGGAAAAAAAAACTCATTCTCTTACTTTCATTTTATTGTCACTAAATGCAGCAGAACAGGTTCGTCTTCATCATATGCCCTGAATCCTATCCATGTTAGATTTGAGACATATATAACTGAGCATATATGTATGTGTGTGTGTTTGAACTAAGTTATGATATTTCTATAGCATTGAAACGAATAATACAATGATGTATTTGTCTTAAGATTATCATTTTCACAATGCTAAGTCATTTCACCTAATTACTAGTTGTCATTCGAAACTAGCCTAAGATTGTTTTTAAAATGTTACTTTTTTTACATAATTCACAACTAATTTTAAACAAAACTTTTAATTAATTTAGTAAGTATGTCTGTATATTCCAGATATTTATGTATCTGTGTGATAAGTAATATATATATATATATTTTCATAAATTAGTTTGCACTGTTCACCTTAATCACATCGAGTAGTTATTCAAAAATACAAAGATAAGGCCTGCCTATTCTCTTAGAATTGCGAGTAATCAAAAAGTCACAAAAGTCATAGTATTTGTTATGTATGTTTATCTGTCCATACGTATATTTCATTTTACTGTGTTAATTAACTAAATAGCGTTTTGCAGCAACACGTGATATATGGTGTTTGAGGTAAGTTGAAGTGACAGAATAACCAGTTTTTTATTGGTTTTGGTTTGGAGAATTTACTGACATTTGATTATACACTTGAGTTATTGTGCTCTTTTCACATATATAAGATAATTTAGACTAATATAATTTTTACTCGAGTAACTCTGCTCATATCTAATAATTTTTTTAGCTTAAGAATTAGTTTATCTGTTCTTTTAAGACAAAACCACATTGGGTTATCTGCTGAGTCCACCACGGGGGACTCGAACCACGGATTTGAGCGTTCTAAGTCCTTAAACCTACCAATGTTTATTGGGAGGAGACTTGTTTAACAAAGATAAAGTTATGTCTAAATCACTATAACACTGAAAACATAATCATATATACAATAATTAATATGTACGATTTATTAAGCTGCGTTGTATATAATTATTTCTTTATTTAATACATGTAAACCTTTTGATATCTACTTATTTTCACCAGATATTTATATTTCAAGATTGCTTAACAAACTTACTCTATATTGCATATAAACACTCTCACAACGTAATATAAAATACTGATTTCAAGATTTAATATTGCTGATAGAAAAAAATTACAAAAGAAAACAAACTAAGGAAAGTTAGCATATAATGAAGGCCTGGCATATGACCTGGTGGTTAGGGCGATCGACTTGCGCCTTAGAGTTTCTTTCAGGGCCAGCCACCCGAATTTAAAATTTCTAGACTAATTCAAATTACCCGAGCGACCGACCCCAAAATGAGACGAGATTAAATTCGAATGAAGAAGAAAAAGTTAGAATATGATGGAGGGTGGTTTTTCTGAATTCTAGTTTGCGTGCATTTATGTTTCGAAATGGATTTTTCAAGCTAAACGTCGTTATTGTTTAAGATGTTAAATGTGTTTTCTATGAACTAATGAGAAAAGTAAAATCAAATTCGGTATTGACGAAGAAAATTGAAACTTTTACGAAATTAGTATATATATTATTCCAAAATATAAGAAATTAGCCCTTCACTTTTCATAGTTCTGATAATTTATCTCGAACCGAAATCTGGGTTGTATGTATTTGATGCTAGTAAAAGAGAAAATAATATGAATCATAATACTTCAACAGAATTTTAAATAATACTACAACATATATATCTAAGTAAGCATTTTATTCTTTAGATATTAATGAATGTACAATCCCATCTCTCGCTGCTATTTGCCGAGGACCTTGTGTTAACACAGTTGGAAGCTACAGATGTGCGCGGCCTGATGAGGGAGAAGACAGTAACCAACCATGTCCAAAAGGCTACGAAAAAAATGTTCAAGGATTCTGTGAGAGTACGTTAAGAGTTTTTTTTTCTAGTTTGAATCATTTAGGTACATGCTATGGACTGTTAAAAGGAAATTTATTGTTTTTATGGACAGCAGTATTAGCTTCCTTTTAATAATAGAAAATTCTAATTGCATTAATATATTTATAATCAGCTGAGCTTCAGATCTTGTGATTGCATTTACTTTAATGTTTATGTGACAAAGGATTTTCTACTATCTTCATCACACTGAGCCTTTTGGAAAGGACATATTTAATTATCATAACTCACTGTTATTTTACAAACACTAACTTAGGGTTGCAGAAGTAGGAAACAAAACAACTTTGGATTCCAAATGAAAAGGGCAATAAATAAAATAAACCTTTTTTATATCCAGCTAAATGTTTGTTTTAGAGCGAAGACACATTGGGTTATCTGCTGAGTCCATTGAACCCCTGATTTTAGCATTGTAAATTGGCATGCTTACCCCCTTTTCCCTTCGGGGGACATATATGTAGCTGAATAGTATCTTTCTATTCAATATGTCCAGAATTTCGGTTCACGCTACATGCTATAAAAGGAGAAATAATAATTGACTTATTGTCTTGTTTTATTTTCATTTTTCACCATTTACAGAACATGAGCAGCTTTATAACTGTTGACAAAGATGTGTTATATCATACGAAAAATTCAATTTCATGAAACACGTGTCAGTTTTTTATTATATTTTTTTGTAATCAACAACCCGGAAATACAAATAACATTTTTTATACAGTTTACCCACATGTTTTTTTGTTTTTTTTTCTTGTTTAGTTATCAAACGTCCCATCCATCCCACCGAATGTGACGAAAATATAGGCTGTTCGCACACCTGTCTCAGGAGTGACGACCTATCATACTGTGCCTGTCCAGCAGGTTTGCGTTTAGGCTCAGACAGAAAAACCTGTCATGGTAGGTGGTGTGTTGCATCATGTCTTTGATTACTTAATCGAAGATTGTGATTTTCATTTGCTTCTAGTGCTATTTAATTAATAATTCGATGACATGTTTCTTTTAACCCGATACTTATTTTAGTTTTAAGCTTCATTGGTTCCTGGTGTGCAATTCATTGTTTGACAGCGATTTTAAAAACTTTATTTCACTATATTGGTACTATAAAACAGTTGATATTATTATCATTACCACAGTGGTTAGTCAGCGCGTACATCAAAAACCTCTAAAATACTGAGAATCATATAATTACGAGGAACTAACAAGTTCTATATTTATCAGTGGATTGAAATACTAGCAATTCACAATTTTTTTGTTTAATATTGTTTTCTCGTGTGTATTATCCTGTTCTTTGCATGCCCGTGTATTCTTTTTTTTATTACAAAACAATTTTTAAGGTTGCTTAGTTGTTATTTACCTTGCATTACAAAATAGTGTCCAACGTTGTACAATTCGGGAAAATGGTCAGTACTCTATTTTCCTTTAACATTGTTTCTTCTTGATCATTAGATATAACTAGCATAAAATACCCACGATTTGGTTCCAAGGCATCCTTGTGATTTACAGAAAATCCTGTGTAAAAGGCAAACTCCTCCATTATCCCTAGTACTTCTATAGCTACCCCAAGCGTGGATCAGTACCTGATAGAAAACTCGTTAGCTGGCCCCTAAGAAGGATTTTGAAAGAGTGGGATGCGACTCTCTCAGGGGACCATTATTTATTATAGCCCTGGGGATCCAAGAATTCAGTAGATAAATGAAAAGTATATGTACTAATGTAATATATATATATAAGGCGAAAATGGTGCTCAAATAAATCAGATTATATTGGTGCTCATAATATATGCCAGTAGAATATTTTTTAACTGGCATGACGCAATCTGAGAACTCTAGTTTGGGACAAAACGATTACATATCATAAAACGTATTTATTGGTATCGACAAAATTAATCAACAGAAAAATTGGTGTCATTTTGTTTGTAGCTATGATTTTTTACAATGCTTATATCGTAGTAACACAGAAATCAGCAACTTATAGCGATTTCCTGAGAATGGCCCATAATATACAAAGAGTAAACAAGTATGTAAACACTAAAATTATTAATTATTGTCTATAATATTTATCAGGGGCTATTCTTGTCGATTTACCATCAGGGGCTCTTCTTGTTCATTTACTATCAGGAGTTTCCCTTGTCTATTTACTATCAAAGGCCCCTCTTGTTCATTTGCTCTCAAGAGCTCCCTTTGTAGATTTAATATCGTGGAATACGAAGGAGCACCTTGTCAAAAAACGACGATGCACGTGCCTCTTGTACGTCATTGTGACTACGGCACTGGTATTATACATTTTTATATTTATTAAACGTTTACTATTAATTATTTTTTTAGATTAGAGTGTTTCGATTCTGCCATTCAGTGTACAGGGACCCTTTTGATAATAGAGTTCTTTCTGATAATACTCAGGACTTACTCTGATGATATATAGAGGCTCCTTTCCGGTCTGTTATTAAAGTGAGCTTTGACTATCATTAGAAGTGCCGGCCTTGCCTATTATTAATATACTAGCAGAGACCCGCAAAACATTTGCGGCCAAATTAGTATCTTCATTGCAACAATACTTCTTTAGATACAGGATTTCTAGAATAATACAAAATAATTCTAATCGCAGACACTGAAATCTATAAGTCCATTTATCCTAACATTAGTTAAGCCTTTATTAAGTACGACCTATATTATAGAGATAAAGAGATAAATTAACACTGTAACTTGTGTATATTTTGTGCTTTAGTTCAGTTAGGGCTAAACCTTACCGCACTTTATACTATCAATAAATAATCTTCTAATATTATTGTACGACCTAACGTTAGACCTTTTTAAAAACTTTGATAAGCTTTTAATATGTTGTATAAAATGTCTATTAAAATATATTTACGTCCTTTCTGGCGTAATTCGACGATTTAACAAAGATACGTTTCCAAATTGCGAAAAAAAGGTGCAATTTTTTGTACATTTTAGTCCAAATATATCCTTAATTTTCGATCAATTGTAGACTACTCGCTTCTATTTGACAGGAAGCCTAACTACTTGAATTACGTAATATGTTACTATGACATCAAATCGTGACCGAGAGACAGACAGACAGATACAACTGTGTTTTATAGTATTATATTTTAGTTCAGTTTTTACATCGAAATTTACTGTGAAGGGATTCATTCATCAATAATATTTTTGTAGTTTCTAGTAAATCGAATTTTGTTTTCGATGATATAATTTTTATTAAATAGAGTTGGATGTTGTTGTTTTTTTTTTCATCTATTCATAAAAAAATTAATATCGAGGGGCATTCATTGGAAAAAGAGGTACAAGCGCACTTCTTCTGACGACCCTGCGTGCAATACCTTGACACGTGTGCTAAGTGGGTTGTTGTTGTTTGTTATCAAGCACAAAATTACACAAGGGCTATTTGTGATCTGCCTACCACGGGTATCGAAACCACAGACATGCCGCTGTGCCAGTGGGGGGGGGCGCTAATTTGGGTCTCGTTGGGGTACGAATACGGTTTCAAACATGGCGTCCCCAGGATCCCGAGGAGCCAGGAACACAAACTTCGATGCCAGATTTTTATTTGTATACTCCCATCAGCCTGGGTGACCTTCGGGGTGTGTTTAAGCCTACTTGGTCGGGAGGAAGCATCCTCCCGATCATCCCGAGTCCACCTGCCACATTTGGTCCTACTAGCTCCAAAATTGCGGGAAAAGTTCGCGGACAATCAAATTAAAACGAAAAATAAATACGTGAATTAATATAGGATGGACAAGTAACTATCTTTTTGTGTTTCATTTCACACTGTTTTTTTTTTGTTTTTTTGCTTAGATATTGATGAATGTTCAAGTTCTTCTTCCTGCCAACATATATGCCATAACACCGAGGGAAGTTTCAGATGTGAATGTTATCAGGGTTTCGTTTTAATGAGCGATAACACGTGCCAAGGTAAGAAGAAGAAAATATCGGATCAAAGTTATTTCTACTTTTTCAATAAATGATGGCATATGCATATATATTTTAGAAATAATTACTTGTGAAATTAATGTAACATTCAATGATTTTCTATTTGAATATAACGTATTGTGATACCTATTCTTTCATGCAGTGATTGCAACGAATATCAATTCGTGAATTGTCAAGACCTAGACCAATCCTCATAAATATTGTTTGAGAATCGTATAGAGCTTATATATGTAGACATAGATATATATTTATATATATACACATGTTTGGAACGTTCTCAGAATGTAGGAAGAATTCCTATAGAAATACTCAAGAGAGCGAATTTTGTACTGAATGTCCGCCATATTCTCACACTAATGGAACTGGAAAAACCTCATTAGCCGACTGCCTTTGTGACCCAGGCTATAGTGGCGACTTGACGAAAAATATATCTTGTTCAGGTATGAATTGAGGCGTATTAATCAATTTGTTTTATTTTTGAATTGACATATAAATGATTTGAATGAGCTTTCAGTACGGGATTAGATGTTCATAACAAGAATTTGTACACAGCCAGTTTAATAACATCTATGAATATGAATGTAAGAATAACAAACAACTTGAGTGCCATTAGAAGGTAGAAGTCCCTTTTAAGAGAAGGTTTGTTTTCCAAAAAGCTCGGAATGTCCAATATATTTAATTGTGATTTGTCTACTTTTTTTTTACCCTATGTGTTATCCAAATATCATGGGCACATATTTTGTGTGGAAATATATGAATTTAGACTAGAAGGCTATATGACGTTTTGTTATATAATAGTATTTAGTATATCATAGATGTTCATGTAGTTAATGGTGTAAAGCAAACATTTAGCATAAACATACTACCTAAACAGTGTACACTTACAGAAATAGGAATATGATACACTTAAATTATATGGAATGTAAAATATAACATTCTAAAATATATTATGGAAACATACATATTGAACTTTTGTATTGTCATTTTCGTGTAAAAAGTTCCGAATTTGCATCACATATAACTTTTACTTTATTATATATTAAAATAAAATGACTATAGGTACAAAGGTTTTGTGCAAGAAAAGTGATTGTTTTTATAATGATGCTGTTATTATTTGCGTTCGTGTAAGAGTGTACAATAATGATATTTGATGTCGTTATGTGAAGATCTATGCCCGAAATCGGACAATATAGGTACACTAATTTTAAAAAATATATAATTTAATTCAAGAATCTTCCGAACTGTTTTTTTACTAAAATATTAAAACAGTTTGTAATTGATCGTTTCTTGTTTTAGATATTGACGAATGTGAAGAAAACAATTTTGGATGTTCTCACAATTGCGTCAACACTCCAGGGAGCGTACACTGTACCTGTCCGTTAGGTTGGGAGCTTGGTGAGGATGAAAAATCTTGTGAAGGTAATAAACAATTTAAAATATAGCTTAAATTAAGCAGTTTGAAAACATAAGAACCTAAACCAGAATTTTACATTATTAAACAAATATATGTATTAAAAATATGAGAAATTGGTGCGAATCATTTCTTTGAAAGCTTTGCATCAAATATCATTTCAGTTTGCTTTCAAATATCAAGAATATGTTCCTCATGTTCAAAAAGTAATTATCGCCAGAAACATTTACGCGCACAAGTTGTGTTAAAAGTAACCACATGATAATAAGACGCACAAGTTGTGTTAAAAGTAACCACATGATAATAAGACGCACAAGTTGTGTTAAAAGTAACCACATGATAATAAGACGCACAAGTTGTGTTACAGTAACCACATGATAATAAGACGCACAAGTTGTGTTAAAAGTAACCACATGATAATAAGACGCACAAGTTGTGTTAAAAGTAACCACATGATAATAAGACGCACAAGTTGTGTTAACAGTAACCACATGACAATAAGATGGAATCTGACTGTAAGAAAGCAAGTGCGACAATAAGGAACATCCAATGTTTCTCATTTCTGATTCCGGCCTGTATAATTTAAACAAGTTAAGTTACGCACAGGGCCGGATTAATTTTAATGGAGGCCTGGGGCTTCTAAGTTCTTTGAGGCTCCTCTATGTATATTCAGTTTCTTCCTTTACTGTGCGGGTTCGAATGCTCTCACCGAACATGCTCGACCTTTCATCCGTGGGGGCGTTATAAGGTTACGTTCGATCCCACTTTTCGTTGGTAAAAGAGTAGCCCAAGAGTTGGCAGTGGGTGATGCAGACTAGCTATCTTTCATTTAGTATATCATTTCTAAACTAGGGACGTCCAGCGAAGCAAGACTTCCAGTAGCTTTACGTGAAATCCAAAAAAAAAACAACAAAAAAACACAAACCTTTACTAACTTACTACCCCTTGACCAATTTCAAACACTGGTTTGCCGATCCCATGCCAAATAGGAATTGTACACTATGTAAAAGCATGCTCTTTTGATGTGCAAATAGCGATTAAATTATTATTATTCATTTATTTGGAATACGCTTTGATACAAGTTTTATGCTAACTAAAAAAGAAAATGGAAATTGACGATATTATTTCTATAATAAATACAAAGAAGCATACAGATTTTTAAATGCTGTTGCCATTGCTATTTTAAATGGGTGCCCCCAGTGGCACAGCGGTATGTCTGGGGACTTACAACGCTATAATCCGGGTTTCGATACCCGTGGTGAGCAGAGCACAGATAGCCCATTGTGTAGCTTTGTGCTTAATTACAAACAAATAAACAAACAATTTTAAATAGGGTTCCGTTTGAATGAAAGACTGCGTTTTATCAGGCAGTCGCTTCTTTAGCAACAAATGCTGGTAAAACAATCGTATCGCATGATACTTTTTATGTATATCGTATAATAAATTACAGCCTATAATAGTGTTTATGGATCCACTTAAATCTGGGGGCCTTGATTACACAGTAAGCAAAAATATGCTTGTAATAACATCTCGCATTTCCACTGCAAAAATCCACAATGCAGGCGAAATTCAATTGTTCATATTCAGATCGGTAGTGACTCCAGCCAAGTTAGAAGGATGGGGGTAAACATTGCCGTGACACTATGTATAGGGCTGTAATTTGGGCTAAGTATGTTGTGTTGCGACAGTTGGTCCAAATGCTGGGTCCCCGCTGGAAGGTCTTCTGATTTACGAAACTAAAATTACGGGCACGATTTCCCTCGGTAAACACAGCAGATAGCCCGATGTGGCTTTGCTATAGAAAAACAAAACACCAACTATTTTTTTTAACAGATCTAATCACTCATACATCACAGGCATGGCGTTGTCTGTTGGTTAAAGAGCCTGACTTACAATCTGAGGGACGCGGGTTCGAATCACCGTTACCGATGGGGCATTATTATTTGCGTCCAGCGCACGTCACGACATCAACCAAAGTCCTGCGGCGATAGGCCGATGGCAATGCAGTAGGAGCTGTAGTCAAAAGCCTGCACGTAGGCGGTCCAGGACACAGGGTCGTTTTTCAACTGATGAGGCAGCAAGGGAGTCCGGCAGCATCCTGGATGACTGAGCAGCCCTTTTTAGGAACGCTCTGCTCACCTCAATTGAGGAGGGGGCTAGAAACGGTGCCCTAAACATAGCCTGTCTCAAATCCACTCTGGGCTGGCGGAGGTCCCAGCATTGCTGTCAGACGCCTTCAGGGATGGTCCGAGCGGAATACACCTGCGATATCGAATGGATGGAAAGCTGTTCAATCTTCGCCGTTTGCAAGCGCGCACAAAAGTTCGTTTGACTAGTATCAGAGACCTGTTGTTTGCTGATGATTGTGTGCTGAGTGCGACTTCGGGGGAAACGATGCAACAGGAGCTCGACTGCTTCGCAAGA